ACACACATCGCATCGTTATCGTTCACATTGCATTATGGTTGACAGGCAAAAATTGACCCACTTCTGGGCAAATGCGGAAAAAGGAGTGCACCACAACGTAAATCCACTTTCGGTGGCAAAGCGTGTAATTAGCCCTCGTCCTCCGGTGGCAAACGAGAACCAATTACAATTTCTATTTGCCGGTTATAAATCAGAGCTGCAGCTGGCAGAAAAAATCGAAAAAAACTCAACCTAATGCCAGAAAAGAGTCGGCCAAATTGCTGCTGCAAATAAAGTGACCAATAGACCACTCCAAGGATACTAAAATGTCACAAAAAAAATAGAAGAGAAATTAAAAGGAACAAATGGCAAGCGCTGCAAAAACTGGAAATTGCCCACAAATGTATGCTATGAAAAATTTTCATTTCGGAAAAGGCCACAAAAATCACGAAGAACAATGAAAATGGTGGAAAATAAAAAAAAAAAGAAACGGGAATTGCAATATCCACTTTCGCATTGGGGCGCTGGCACTTTTGCACGAAACTCGAGTGCGGCCACCGAATCTGAGTAAAAACCAGAAAAATTTCAGAAAAAATCTCCATTAAAGACCAGCCGGTTAAAATGGATGCAGCATGTAGTTTACTCTGGAGTCCGGACTCCTGTTGGAGGGGTTGACAAATAGCAAGGATAAGAGAAAGATCCATTTAAAAAAAAATAGAGTAGGGTGAGTGAGGGAAGAGTGTGTGGAAAAAAGTATCAACTGCCAGCATCCGTGTCAGTTCGTCCGGACACGAGTGTGAGTGAGTGCCATAGAGTGGAGTGTGTGTATGAACTTGAAAAGCGAGTTTCGTTTGAAAATGTCAGCCGGCAGGAGGCAGGAGGCAGTCGGCAGACACTCACGCACACGATATGGAATTGATGTAAGTAAACCGCTGCAATGCCAGGAATTTTTCCATAAGCCGCTGCCACACAGCGCTTTCAATTTGCCTAGGACTTGCCGGCACTAACAAGGACATGTATGGAAGTTACTCATAAATACTTTGGCTAACATAAGCACTCTTTTGTTTGCTGAAATTGCTTTAAATAAATATTTATTAAAATATTAAAGATCCTGAATAAATTCTATTTGAATCCTTTTGAAACTAAGCAGAGCGTGTAGAGTAATATTTTCAGGACTAACTTTGCTTAGACCAATTTATTCTTTATAAAAAAAAAACAATACAAAAAAAACTACCATAAGTTGATTCGATTTGGAGCTCAGGTGCAATGTTAGTTTCTATTTTTTGTGCCAGCATTGTATGGGAAAATCAGGCTGAGTGCTCCATCCGCTCTCAAAAAGAAACCTTTAGCCGCTTTTGCAGACTATTTACACATGGCCGTTTGAGCAAGTGAGTGTGTGTGTGTGTGGTTTGGTTTTCCTTAGACTTTGCCCATTCCCATTTCCCCCCCTCCATCTCCATCAGGACAAAGTGTTTGCTTACAAAACTTCACAATTTGATTCCCGGGGAGCGGGGATGGGGTAGAGAAACGATTTTTATTTTCAATTTTCTTTGTCGAATACATGACAAAGTGCCATCAACAAGCGAGCGAGGCGAAGCAACGCGTTAAGGGAGCAACAAATATCCAATACATGTATGTATATGTATCTACACTGTACATGTGTGTGTGTGTGGGAGGCTGACTGGGTTATGGGGCGTGGCATTTGCCTGTTGAAATATTGCAACCGCTGCCAATAAGCGAAGAAAGGATAACAAAAATTGAGCGATGTGTCTGCCGCAGCCGCGGATACAAGTCTAATAAGGACAACATGAACGATACGTATTGTAGACAGATGTGTCCTTGTCTTTACATGTGTATGAGTGTGTGTGAGTGCCTGTGAGAGATCCTGATACTCGTATTGATAAAATGACAAATATGGCTGCCATCGTCTTGTGGATTGTGGATTGCCATCGCAGCTGTGGTGTGAAATGCGATGAGAGCCTCCGGAAGGAGCTGTATGATTGCCACCTCGTCACCTCATCCTCTCGGAAAAGGTATCCTTTCACAGTTATTTGAGACTGACAAATGGAAACTTCAAATTATTGTCGGCACTATTATTTTACTTTCGTATCCTGTTAGTCCTTTACAAGCTGATCACATAATTTATGGAGGAAAACAAAGGTTTTAAAGTGTTAATTAAACATACAAGCAAAGCTCATTCTCAGTCCCTAGGCTGCTGCATAATTTGGAAATTTTGCTGTCCATTTTTTTGTTGTCCTGCCGGCCACTTGTCCTGTCCATTTGCAGTCGTCTCGGCCCCCTCTCCACCACCCATACACCGTCATTACAGCTTGTAAGTGCTCATTAACATAAGCCGCTGAGATGCCGTTGTGCGCATTGTTGTCCTTCCGGTTGTCCTCCACGGACTTTTGTTTGCCTTTTTCGAAAAGGACTTTGGACTCGGGACTCGGGACTTCGGACTTTCGGGCTTGGGACTCACGCTGATTGTAGCATTTAAATTAATTTTAATAAAACGAACAAAAAGCAAGAATCAAGCAAATTATAGAATCAAAAGACACTGGCCCATAAAAGTAAACAGGCGAGGCATGGCTGTTTCTGTTGCTCATATTGTTGTTGTCGTTGTTGTTGTTGGGTGGATATGCCGAAAGTCCCCGAATATAAAAGTTAAATTAAAAAATAATATCCAGAGAGCAACGACAATGAAAGCGACGTCGTGGCGTGGCGTGGCATGGCAAAGGCGAACAAAAATGCGAATTACACATAAAAAGCCGCAATTGAGTTTTTGGACTTGTCCCCGCCACTCGGTGGGGCAACCGGCAAATGGAGAGGGGAAATCGAGTAAGGAGGGGCTGGTGGTCGGGTGGGAAAACCCAGGGAAAACAAGGGGCTCTCTGGCGGCGAGTGAGTAAACTCCATACCAAATATATGCGTAAATCTCAACGAATTTCATGCGACTGACGATTTCAATGGGCGTGTGGCAAGAGGGGAATGAGAGTGAAGGGGAGGATGGGTGGCATAAGGGGAGGGCGTAGCAACCAGCAAATACAACAACCCGAAATGGGAATCCAAATGAGCAGCACTGCCAGCAAATAAAGGCAGCAGCAGCGACAAAAGGAAAGGCTCTGCCGCAGAAGGAGAAAGCTGAAAGAAAAGCGTGTCTCGTAAAATTTCCCAAACACACACATGAAAACTGCTGCACAGCTGCCTCGTTGGCTAAGAGAGGGGAGAGGGGGGGCTGAAGTCTTAAAGCAACCGCTGCATTGTTTCATTAACTCCGTCCGGAAAGTGTGTGCTTTATCCCCCATTCGCCGCCTCTGTCCTGCTTCCTGACAACATTTTATGGCCCCCTTCGTTTTTAAACCGAGATCATTGAACGCTTAACTGCACTTGAATAAAAAATTTAAGCTTTTTTTATTAAATAATATTTAAGACATAACTATTAGGGCTCTAGAGACTCTAAGTTTAAAGAGCTAATAATATGTAATTAGGATTTGTGGGGCTAATTGTTTCTCAAGAACCTTGTAATAATTTGTAAGAGTGTAGTGTGTTAACCCCTGACATTTCTTGTTGATTTACACCCAACAAAACGCTTTGGCACTTGCTTTTTTCCAACACAATCATCTTAGAAGTCTGACTCTAAGAGTCCTTAGTCCTTAGACTTTTCTTCGAGTATATTTCGGTTAATCTGACGAATCCAGAGTTGATTTACTCATCACTCGCTTAGACGGGGCCTTCGTCCGTAAATTCTCGTAAATCTCCGTAAAATGAGGAAATAAGTTGTAATTGCAAAATCTTTATCGCTCTGCGAAGATAGTAGATGGCCCCTCCTTCTGGGGCTGACTGCTAATTAGTTAGCAGAAAAAGTGAAAAGCGAGAGCCTGGCAGCTTCGACTCATCTTAATGAACTTTTCCAATTTTACTTTTCCCTCCTCGGAGCCTGGAAGCTACTTTTGTAGGTATTGTGCCGGCGAAGATGTTGGCTTTCAAAGCTGAAATGCATGAGCCAGTCCTGGACTAGGACTCCCTGGGACCGACCCACCTTTCCCACCAACGATCCTCATTTTCATGCACAATTACCGCCCAACGACGACGACGGCAAGTTTTCAAGGCCGCTTTTAGCACGTAAATTAATGTTGTTCCGCGATGTTGTGGCTGTTGCTCAGACCAACTTTTGTTTAGAGTTTTTCCGAGGCGGCCGAGGGAAACTTTTCTCGTTTTCCACACCGCACTTTTTCTCGCACGATACTGTTGTCCTGCCAAAGTGCCGAGTGCCAAGAACACACAGAAGTGTTGCCGTGTATGTCCTTATTTCTTTTCCCCTTTTTTTTAGTGCTTTGTGCAATTATCAGCGAGCACACACATTGTAGTCTTACACACTCACACCCTGGAGGCACCCAGGAGCAGCGGAAAGTAAATAGAAAGGACATTAAGTGGCGTTAAACAGACGCTCGTGCAACAGCCGCAACATGTGAAGTGTCAGGCCAGGATATGGGGAACAGGACAGACCAAAACGTTTTTTATGAGTGCAGGTTGATTGGCAAACCCACTTATTACCCAGCACACTGATTTATATCGGGTTTCCTTTGATTTACAAGAAATGTCCTTTAAATGCTTCTATGTTTAAGGACATTGGCTTAGGTTAGTTACTAGCTTAATGCTCCTATAGCTCTTATAATTTATTCAAAATATTTCTCAGTGCACTTACTTATCATTTTATGCCGCTGGGCGGTCCGCGAATCCCTACGCTAGGATTAATCCGCTCTGCTGCTCTGGCACCCGATACTCCACTCCGCTTGTCACTTTTCACCCGGATTCGATTTATTACTCCGCGAAACGGTCAACACAATTTTTTGCGGAATTTTTTGCCAAATAACTTTAAGGGGATCTGCCAGCTCTGTTGCTTCTCCGGCTCCGAAGTGCTGCGCCTGCTACTCCTGCTGCTGCTGCTGCTCCTGTGATGAGATGTGCTGGCTGTGCGATTTGGTTTTTATTTGCCGCGTTTTCGCACCCAAGAACCCAACCAGACGAGGACTGTCGATGAACTGTGCGTCCAGCAGCTGTTGCTGCTCCCGCACGGCTCCTGTTATACGGGCCATAGTACAGTTTCCTGCCGAGGATTCCGCAGGCACAGTGGGCCGCATCCCAGCCAGTTCACGCACACATGGCGTATGCGCAATGTCGGCAACCGAGAGAGAGCCACAAACGAGTGCCGACGCAGCGGCGGAGCAACAATTTGTTGACGAGCCGGGGACAGGCTCAAACGGACAGACGGACAGGCCGAGGAGGGACAGGCTGGCCGACAGACAGACAGTTTGCTATTTGTTATACGGCAGACAGGCAGCGGTGTCCTGTCCAAAGGCAAAGAAATAAGACCGGAAGCAAAAAGTCAACGCGATAAGCAAGCAAAGGCTGGCAAGGACCAAAACAACGGAAAGGAGGAAGCTTGTGCTGCAAATTCCTGCTGTCTTTTATTGGTAATGCGAAAATACGAGAGCGAAATAAAAGCGCTCACCTTTCATTTCCCCCTTTTTTTTTGGGAAGGTCCTGCCTATGCCCATCGACCTTCCGGGGTAAAAAAACCGAATTTTCGCCCCACCTTTCCGGCCAGCATTAGCATAATCGGAGGCTAGTTCCGAGGAAATTGAGTTGAAGCTGCGCCGCAAACTTACTCCTGGCCGGGATACGCGGCGTATGCGCAATGTGCGGCAACTGTTGCTCGCCCCGCCACCCGCCTTCCGGCACTTAATAAATATGCATGAGCAGGCGGAAGGGTTTCAATTAAATTTACTAGAAATTGCGGTTGGTCGAGGTCAAGAATTTGTATGAAAATATTTTCGGCATTTCCAGCACTCCGTCTCGGGCTCCAGCCCGGCCTAGTCAGGCCCGAGAATTTATTTGTTTTTTGCATTTATTATGAGCATAAGCAGAAAAAACGACGCAAATTAAGACGACGGTCTCGGCTTTGATGCGTGCTCGGAAAGTGTTAAATTGCCAAATGAACTTAAGTGAAATGAGCATGAAAGGGGGGCCCAGAACTGGAGCAGCTTTAATGGGCAGCCTCCTTGCTACCCAGAGGATACTCTGGGGGTGAGGCAAAAGTAGAAAGTGGAAACAGGGGTTTGGCCGAGCAAACATGAACGAAAAAACATGAAACGTGCCCTGCCTGCTAAGCACATTCATTACGCAAGAAATGAAGCTGCCTTACTGGTGGTCCTTTCCCCTATCCCCCCTGGCCCCCCTGCCACCATTCTTTCACTCCCTTCCTGGGCAACTGGGCGTTCCACGCCTCCTATTGAATTATTCCAGTTTTATTTCTCGCCATTTGCTGTTCACGCACACCGCCAGGACCTCGACGCCTGCCAGGACCTGCTGCTGCTGCTGCTGCTTAACTGAAGCTGACTCCTGGCTCTTGGCCAGGTTGTTGAACCACAAATACACTAACACCCCGCAGCACACACAAACAGGGCAAGACGCACAGCCCGAGCTCACCTGTTGATTGGGCCTTTCAGGATGTTTGAGAAAAAGCCAAAGCCAGAGCCCGCTTTCCTTTCGGCTTATGTGGGCTCAGTTTTGTAGTCGAGCCGGCTCCTTCTAATGGCCAAGGGATATTGAATCGATTGACGGCCGGGGATGGGGGCTTTGAGGCTAAAAAGGTGGTTGGGCAGAGTGGCAAAAGGGGCGGGTAAAGTCATTTGGCTTTAGCCAGCATTTGGCCCATTCGGAGTCGGGGCTTGTTTGCGCTCGTGTCGACAACAATTGATTCCAAAATATTAATTAACCGGATAAACCAATTGAGGTTTTGTAAGCGTCCAAAATGACAGCCATGAGGTCAATATTACTGTCTGGGGGAATACCAGAAATACTTAATTGTAGCTACAAGAGTAATGTTCAAGAATTACTATCGTACTCCCTTCTATAGTCCCTTAATGTATTCACACTTCCAATTTAAAAACTTTCTTTTAACCTTCAAAGCTCTTGGTAATGATATTTTACAATATTATTATTTTTTTTATATGTCTAAAATGTAAAATTTAGAATCTAAATGAATTAGTAATTAAAAGGGTTTCTAAAGAAAACCTTTATTTCATTTTCAGCTCAGCAAGTATTTCTTTTGATAAACATTTTTATATTTGACAGGAAATATAAACATTTTAATGTACAAGATTTATAAAAAATATATATAATCAATAATATTATTTTCTATGTAAATATTAGAAAAGGGGAAAAAAAAGGCAATAATGCTGAAAATGCATGGGAGCCCAATATCGCCCACCGCGAAAGCCATATCTTTGCCAATTTCCATCCGATCCTTGAGCGGAGTACCTTAATCGTATTGTGGATCGATTCTTTATTAATCTGCAACAAAATCTGGACACAAATTATTTTTTCACTTTTTTGTCCATTTTTCTGATGGATCCCCTTCAAAAATGCTGAAAATGCATGGGAGCCCAATATCACCCACCGCGAAAGCCATATCTTTGCCAATTTCCATCCGATCCTTGAGCGGAGTACCTTAATCGATTTGTGGATCGATTATCCATTAATCTGCATCAAAATCTGGACACAAATTATTTTTCACTTTTTTGTCAATTTTTCTGATGGATCCCCTGCAAAAATGCATGGGAGCCCAATATCACCCACCGCGAAAGCCATATCTTTGCCAATTTCCATCCGATCCTTGAGCGGAGTACCTTAATCGATTTGTGGATCGATTCTTCATTATTCTGCATCAAAACCTGAACACTAATTATTTTTTCACTTTTTTGTCAATTTTTCTGATGGGTCCCCTGCAAAAATGCTGAAAATGCATGGGAGCCCAATATCACCCACCGCGAAAGCCATATCTTTGCCAATTTCCATCCGATCCTTGAGCGGAGTACCTTAATCGATTTGTGGATCGATTCTTCATTAATCTGCATTAAAACCTGAACACTAATTATTTTTTCACTTTTTTGTCAATTTTTCTGATGGGTCCCCTGCAAAAATGCTGAAAATGCATGGGAGCCCAATATCATCCACCGCGAAAGCCATATCTTTGCCAATTTTCATCCGATCCTTGAGCGGAGTACCTTAATCGATTTGTGGATCGATTCTTCATTATTCTGCATCAAAACCTGAACACAAATTATTTTTTCACTTTTTTGTCAATTTTTCTGATGGGTCCCCTGCAAAAATGCTGAAAATGCATGGGAGCCCAATATCACCCACCGCGAAAGCCATATCTTTGCCAATTTCCATCCGATCCTTGAGCGGAGTACCTTAATCGATTTGTGGATCGATTCTTCATTAATATGCATCAAAACCTGAACACTAATTATTTTTTCACTTTTTTGTCAATTTTTCTGATGGGTCCCCTGCAAAAATGCTGAAAATGCATGGGAGCCCAATATCATCCACCGCGAAAGCCATATCTTTGCCAATTTTCATCCGATCCTTGAGCGGAGTACCTTAATCGATTTGTGGATCGATTCTTCATTATTCTGCATCAAAACCTGAACACAAATTATTTTTTCACTTTTTTGTCCATTTTTCTGATGGATCCCCTTCAAAAATGCTGAAAATGCATGGGAGCCCAATATCACCAACCGCGAAAGCCATATCTTTGCCAATTTCCATCCGATCCTTGAGCGGAGTACCTTAATCGATTTGTGGATCGATTCTCCATTAATCTGCATCAAAACCTGAACACAAATTATTTTTTCACTTTTTTGTCAATTTTTCTGATGGATCCCCTTCAAAAATGCAGAAAATGCATGGGAGCCCAATATCACCAACCGCGAAAGCCATATCTTTGCCAATTTCCATCCGATCCTTGAGCGGAGTACCTTAATCGATTTGTGGATCGATTCTCCATTAATCTGCATCAAAACCTGAACACAAATTATTTTTTCACTTTTTTGTCAATTTTTCTGATGGATCCCCTTCAAAAATGCAGAAAATGCATGGGAGCCCAATATCACCAACCGCGAAAGCCATATCTTTGCCAATTTCCATCCGATCCTTGAGCGGAGTACCTTAATCGATTTGTGGTTCGATTCTTCATTAATCTGCATCAAAACCTGAACACTAATTATTTTTTCACTTTTTTGTCAATTTTTCTGATGGATCCCTTGCAAAAATGCTGAAAATGCATGGGAGCCCAATATCACCAACCGCGAAAGCCATATCTTTGCCAATTTCCATCCGATCCTTGAGCGGAGTACCTTAATCGATTTGTGGATCGATTATCCATTAATCTGCATCAAAATCTGGACACAAATTATTTTTCACTTTTTTGTCAATTTTTCTGATGGATCCCCTGCAAAAATGCATGGGAGCCCAATATCACCCACCGCGAAAGCCATATCTTTGCCAATTTCCATCCGATCCTTGAGCGGAGTACCTTAATCGATTTGTGGATCGATTATCCATTAATCTGCATCAAAATCTGGACACAAATTATTTTTCACTTTTTTGTCAATTTTTCTGATGGATCCCCTGCAAAAATGCATGGGAGCCCAATATCACCCACCGCGAAAGCCATATCTTTGCCAATTTCCATCCGATCCTTGAGCGGAGTACCTTAATCGATTTGTGGATCGATTCTCCATTAATCTGCATCAAAACCTGAACACAAATTATTTTTTCACTTTTTTGTCAATTTTTCTGATGGGTCCCCTGCAAAAATGCTGAAAATGCATGGGAGCCCAATATCACCCACCGCGAAAGCCATATCTTTGCCAATTTCCATCCGATCCTTGAGCGGAGTACCTTAATCGATTTGTGGATCGATTCTTCATTAATCTGCATCAAAACCTGAACACAAATTATTTTTTCACTTTTTTGTCAATTTTTCTGATGGGTCCCCTGCAAAAATGCTGAAAATGCATGGGAGCCCAATATCATCCACCGCGAAAGCCATATCTTTGCCAATTTTCATCCGATCCTTGAGCGGAGTACCTTAATCGATTTGTGGATCGATTCTTCATTATTCTGCATCAAAACCTGAACACAAATTATTTTTTCACTTTTTTGTCAATTTTTCTGATGGATCCCCTGCAAAAATTCTGAAAATGCATGGGAGCCCAATATCACCCACCGCGAAAGCCATATTTTT